GATTTATCATATTGACTCATAGGCCAGAGAGTTCAGGCTGTTCTTTCCTTATACCTCTTCAATGCACTTTTTTTTCTTCCTTTCTTTCTCCAAATCTACCCTGTGGAGAGAAGACATGTGAGAAACCTATGAGTGAAACAAGCATGGAATTGAATCCGCAGAGGGGAAAGTGCTCTTTCTTTGGCTTCTCGGGCACCAAGCATTGTTGTTTTCTATATAACCCAGCACATTTAAACAAAGTGATCGTGCTTCCAGTTTTCACATGTATTGTCTAATACATTTTTATTATGGGGTTGAGAAACTCAGTATAACTATGGACTAGTGTGTGTTATTAGAGCTATATCATCTCATACTTGTGTTGTTTTTCCCCTTACTCCTGTTTCAGTACAGTAAAGACGCTACAAAGAGTTAGTCAGCTGAGTAAATTTCTCATCGATCCATGTAGAAACCCTGTGGCAGCTCTGCCATGATACCGGTAATGTAGGTTTTTTTAATCTAAAAGCTCATCTCACCATAAAATCAAGGTGTGCTGCAAAAGTCATTTCCCAATGCAGCAACTTAAGAAGGATGGAGGATGCTGTCAATAATTTTTTACTGGATCATTTTACTAACATACTGAAATCAGACTTTTAGTCAGAAACATTCATATATCAAATGAACTCACCAATATTTTGATTCTTTCTGTAAATATGATGAACTCTACACTTAACTGCTATTTATTGCAAGTATACACAAACACACATAAGGAAACAAACACTCGTTAGAATATTTTAAAATTAGCTTATGCTTTAAGCAACTTAAGCATTTCTAGATAGCATTTTGTCATTTTATGCCAAATAAAATGCAGTTTTAAGCAAACCATTTGAATACTTCTCCTTTAAAATGATAAATTTGAACTTTACAAGACAATAATAGAACAGAAGAAAGAAATTAAATGTATCCAAAATTAAAAGTATAATACCTACTGGATTTTAGTTAGCTTTAAAGTAGTTACAGTTGGCCTAAAAGCCTGGCTCCTATAGASAGTTGAATCTCTTTTGAGCTGAATCTGCATAGAAAAATGGTATTAAACAGGGTGTGAGAGGTTTCTGTCAATGTTTTTGAGTTATTAAGAAGACAACTGGAATGGATATTCTTCAGGTGAGAAAAATAGCCAGTAGTTCACTCAGTTGTCTTCACCTGCTGGAGATGCCTCTCCTGTGTAACGGCACAGCAAAAGACTCAACTGAACATCGGTACAATGTTTTTAAAGACATCCTGTATTTCAGGATCCCCAGGAAGAAAAGGCGGCTAGACCTTTTATTTCCAAACTTTGTTCACATCCCAAGAGTCGGGTTCTCAGGAGAGACCATTTGACTTCTCTGCATTGTAACCCATAGACTACTAAACACTGAAATACAGCAGGTCTTGTTTTCAGGCCACTGTGGATATTGAACTTATTGGTTTTTCATGCCTGTCCTGCTCACTAAAATGTATCATATTTCACCATTTGGTTTTATCCACTTTTTTGTCAACACAACGGAACAAACTAATATAATGTCTCATAACAACCCAAGGTGAACAGCGCGTGTGCCTGGAATGATGATCTGAATTTACTCTGTAAACACAGTTGACAAATGAGGCTGGTAGCTTTTTGGGAATGGACAACATGTTGATGAAATGTAATCAGATTTGGGTTCATGAGCCTGATCTGTTTCTTTCATATTTTTTCATCATACTAGCATTCACCAAATATGTATGCACATCCCTGATGCTTAGCTTGTTTTAATCAAAGTTAGAAACGTTCTTTAGTGGCCAGAGAAAATGTTGATTTAGCTTAGGATCTTTTCGAGTGTGCACATAATTATTATGGGGCGGCTGTGGTGTAGTGGTAGAGCAGCCGGCTTGGGACCCGAAAGTCTTAGGTTCGACTCCCCGCCATACCCACATGTCGTGGTGTCCTTGAGCAAGACACGTAACCCTAACTGCTCCCCGGGCGCCTCACATGGCTGCCTGCTGCTCCACTTGGGTGTGGATGGGTTAAATGCAGAGCACAAATTTCGTCATTGTGTGGAAACATACACTGATGACAAATAAAGCACCTTTACTTTATAATCTAGATGCCAATTAAAACTGAAGGTTAATTCTTAAAAGGAATAGATTTGTAAGACAAACGAGTAAGAGGGAAAAACAATTAGGAGAAAATGGAGTTTGGTTGAATAATAGACCAGTTAGGGAAACCCGTTTTCAGGTTCGGGGGTCCAGCTCAAGCACTTGTGCCCTGTTTAAAAAAAAACAAACAATATTTATGTTCAGCTGCTGCTGGGGGGTTTCGTGCACGTATCCTCCATTCACCAGGATAATTACTAAACAAACTACAGCCCCGTGATATAAACAAGCTGCTGAACTATTTTAAGATGCTATTACATTTATGCTACCCCCCCCCCACCCACCCAGATCATCTCTGCTCAACCAGTTCAAATGCAATCAACACTTAAAGGAAGTATGTCGTGATGGTGTCTGTAGTTAAGATGCAATAAATTCTCAAGCAAAATTTCCAAAGTTCATTGGATTTCTGTATTGCCCATGGTTTCTTATACAAGTCAGTTTTTTTTATTACAACGGCAAACCTTTTTACAGCTCGTCTTCACACATTGTTTGGCTTTTTGTAYGACATAATTATGTCAACAGTGATTGGAGATGTGACATCGGACATTTCGATAAGAGCTTTCCCACAAGGTAAATTTGCCAGTTGGGAAAAGGACCAAACGTGCAAACAAATCATCAGAAACTAATTTTCCTCTGTCTGTTATTGTGCATTCTAATGCTGATAAATGAATGTGTCACTTTGGTAACAGGCCTCATGTTGAGCAGACTGGTGCTACACCAGTTCCCAGCTTATCACATCAGTAATGGTCACAAGACTTGAGCTGTTTCCACATCAGTTTTCCATCTAAATGTGTTTCTCTCCAGTGGTCGGTCTCTCCTCCCCCCCAGTGGAAAGCAGTTAAATCCCACAGAAACAACGCGGTCTTTAGATCCAATTGTCGAAAACATAAGGTCCTAAGTGTTGTTGCTGATTGCCAGATGACGATTGAGCTGCAGGGTGCACATTTAGAAGTGTCTGAATGGGCTTCGGTTTGTTAAGTGAGATGGGTGTGTGCGTGTGTGTCTGCATATTTTTGTAACAGTTGGGCTGTTTCTCAGGGAAATTGACCTTTGTCCTTGTGTGGTGCTGCACTTACAAGTTTTCTTGTCCTAGAACAGCTCTTTGACCAATCTGCTCAAAAACACATGCGGACTATATTGTGCTTTGTCATTATTTCACACAAGTGTTATTTTATTTACAATACCTGACACCAATGGCTTCATGGGGTCCATAAATGTTGAGAATTTTAGGCCACAATCGGTGAAGAAACATGCACGGTTTGTTTCTAAGGCAAGTTTGAGCAGCTGAAATGAAATAAATTTATACATTTCGTAACTGTTCCATCTGCAATGTCAAAATGTTTATTTTGGAATGTATAACTTATTATAGGCACCTTGTATTTCATTATAAATAAAGCTTTGTACAAAGTAAAGACCTCAAACTAGCAATTTCCTATGTATCAGCTGAATGGTAAAAGTAAATYATAAGAATCATAAAACTTACTTTTTAAAGTACCTCAGTAAGTTCAATTTAACAGGTGAAGAATGTCTAAAAACTATTAAGATTGGAAAACACAATGCAAAACTGAACAAACAACACAAGTTGAAGAACCAGAGCATTTGTCTCAATTAAAAAAATACATATTTTGAGGTTTTTGGTTCCTGCTGAATCACAAAACCAACAAGTAAGAAATTTTTTCAAACAAAACCTTTTTAAAAAATGTATATGAGACTGAAATAGTGGATGGGAGAGTGTAAAGAATATAACTCACAGATGGAACATTGTATTATTTGAACAGCTGAAGAAGGAAAAGCTGTAACATAATTAAGACACCGATTTAAAATGGTTTATAAAGGTGACTATTGCCTCAACATAAAAGGAGCAGAAAACATTTACATGTAAATTTATGGGCTGGCTAAACCGTTAGCGTTTCCAGATTTTTATCATGACTTTAATGGTTAGTTTAAAAATAATCTTCTGATGAAGTGACCATCAATACATTCCTTTCAGCAAAGTCTTGTCACCATTTTTCCATCCATGTCTTTGATTAGAGTCCCATTTAACATAGTGTTATCTGTGCAAACACAATGGACCACTTACCTGATKAATTAATGTTTTTAAAAAAGGAATCAGCTCAGCTAAAGCTGTGTTGATACTAAATTCTTTTTTTTTCCTGTATACCCAACACTTTGGTTTTGCTCTAAAGGTTTAGACACGCACCTGTGCACACAAGCTTTTGTTTTTTTGGTCCCTCTGAGAGTTAAATATCACTGTAAACTGTGTCCTCCATCCTGGTTATTGCTTCCCTATTGTCCACAGGCTTTGTGTGCAGGGTCTTTTTGTGTCAGCCTGGCTGGAATTGGCCTGTTTACTGTGATTAAATGGGGGGAAAGGAGTTTGATGAGGACTGAACTGGTCCTCTTTTAGACTAAAGAAATGTTGCAGTGCATGCTGGCGTGGCACCATGCAAGGGTAAAGTTGTTTTGGAATGAGCTGAGCRTTCCAAATAAAACAAATAAATACATTTATCTAAATAAGCAATTTTAATGGTTACTGGAAGTCAAAGCTAACCAGGTTGCACAAAATGTACATTAAAAGAGGTTCTTTGTAGAGAAAAGTATATGGCTTACAATAAATACAGTTTTAAATAAATTTGCTAGTTAAGATGAGGTCTGTAAATAATGGATTTTTTTGTGCGCCGTGTTGAAATGAGAGGTTGGCAAATTTTTAATGTCAGGTTCATGTTAGTGGCAGAGAATGACACAACTAGTCACACCACAAAATATACTTAACTGAAACCATAATAACATGTTCAGTCATCTTGTTTAAATCCATCCTGCTGTGATCTGATCGTATCTTGTTGTCTTTACAGGTATTTGGTGACTATTATCACTTCCGGCATCGCACTGTGGTTAAGAGATCGCTGTCAGTTCACAGAGGGACACATGTTCGACTACAAAAAGATCCCAAGGTAAGAAGTTAATCTTTGGGGTTTTAACTCTGGATGTGTTTCTCTCTTCAGCCCAACTGTGAGGATGAATTGGGCTTTAATGTTTTGCCCGAGGGTTTCGTTGAAATAAAGATGTGGGATTAAATCCCCAATTAGTGATCAACCTGTTTTACATCTGGAGATTTTCCTTTGATGTATTAAATTCCCTAATTATTCCAGCCCTACAGATATATTCAAAACATGTAAATCTTTGCCTACTGCTGGAAAAATATATATAGCATAACAGTGATTTTGCTGTGAAGTTAAATTTTTCTGATTTCTTTCTTTTCTGCCATGTTGTTTTTGTTTTAATGTTGGGACTTGAGACTTTTGGTCCTGTGTTCCAAGCAAATGGCGTGGATTGATTTCAAACAGCTTCTTTTTCCACTGAGCAGAAACAGAATTATAGCTTTCAGTTGAAAGAGAGACTAATAACCATGTTGAAACGAAACAAAACACAACGCCCAAAACAGCTATACGTCTACCCTGATACTGTCACAGGGAAGGTTATTAATTGAACGTGATGGCTGTTTTTTATGGTGCTCCATAGGTCACAGCCAACAGTGCTGCAGCTTGGGAGTAAATTTAAACGAGTGCTTTTGACAGTTGGCATTCCCAAAGCATGTTGAGTTACAATAAAGAAACTTTACTGTGGTTTCTTTCATAGCTAATAATACACATTGAACAGACTGGTTAAGGATTGTCTGCTCAAGTATTTTAGGTATTTTTAGGAGGGAGCTCACCCTATGAAAAAGCTTTATTCCATTTTCCATGCTTTACAAGAGCATCATAAACCTGCCTGGAGGTAAAATCTGGTACCTCTGTGAATCTGCACTGAGCTGATGCTCAGCGGGAGTAGAATAGCCTCTGCTGGGTTTGTTTTGCATACACGTTAGAGCTTACTTCCCCTCTTCTCTGGGATTTCCTCTAACATCGGAGCTCCATTTCCTGTTGTTGAATTCCTTTTTTCCCTCAGCACCTCAGAAAAAGTGGAGCGTTATCAGACCCTTGTGCCATTATGAAGAGAATCAGACCAGCTGTATGAGAATTGGTCACGTTTAGTTTTATTTTCAAGCTTATTTAATCTTTGCAAATGATGTTCCTTAAAATTCCCTGGATCCTTCGACTGCGTCAGTAAATTCCTGCTACTCTGTTGCAACTAACAACGTGATTAACACTTGTAAGCAAAGCCAATTATTTCAAATTGTTCTTAGTTTTTGGAAAACACATTTTTAAACAGGCAGATTTTTTTAATCCTTCAGAGCCAGTTTGCTGCTTTTTAAACTAAGTGAGAAGCTTCAACGTAAGACTAAACTCTCTTTGAAGAGTAATTCTTTACAAAGTATCTGAAACTCTGCCAAATTTAATAGTGTGTTGACAAAGTTCTGTCAATAGAGTCTGTTCAAGATTTAAGGTTTTGAGTCTTGTCTGCTACTTCCATGCTGTCTTTTTTCTCTCCTGTTCTGTTGTTGCTTTTGTTTGTTGATGCGAGACATTTACTTCTTTTCAGTGACCGTTCATAATTTGTCAAGCTGTAAGGAAAGTATACAGACACAGTAGTACGCTGTGACTCAGTAAGCACTAAATTTAATAGTTTAGTCAGCATTTGTTTACTATAATCTCTTCTTTTCTGCACTAGCAGGACCACTAGCAATTCTGACTTTTAAACAAGGTATAGCAAGAATTTAATTATCTGTGTTCAAACCAGTGGCAAATTTCTTTATGGTAATGAAGCTTTATGTTAGAGTTGCAGTTTGCCTTAGGGGAAAGATGCTTTGTTTGTGTAATTTAGAAGGACAAAGGAGTGGGTGGACAAAAGAGAGTATGGAGATTTTGTTTGCAAGACAAAGACTTTCCACCCAAACACAAACCAAAGCAGTTCATTTGAACTTTAGCTCTTAATTGGATAAATATGAGAATATGATTTTCAACTATTTTTCATGTTCAAAGCCTTCTTAGATAATATAGTAAATATATTTTTCATACACTTTTTTAATGCACTGTCACATGCTTTAAAACAAAAAGAATAAAAAAACAATGTTGCATAATAAAACTGAAAAGCTAAAAGTAGACATCTGTGAAGCCAGACATTAAAAATCTTTTTAATGGGCTTTAAAAGTTCGGCCATGAGATACGTCTCGCATAGTTTCTTGTTTACTGTTTGTTAATAGACATATAAATTTACAAAACAGTCCAGGCGAGTTGTTTGTAAATACTCTAAAGTGCATTTAGGTAGACATATTTCTGTAAGTCTGGGTCTTTGTTGTGTGAAAACTTGGTGAACTTGTCTGGACTGGTAATTTGTGCTTTAATGTATCAGTGCTTTAGAACTAGACCCAGAGCCATCATCAGTAATACAACAAGTAGTGGAAAATTACATCTTTGGGGGKTTTTTAATTGACATCCCAAAGAGCTGAGTGGAATGACTGGTTTTAAATAATGGTTGGAAACTAGAAGTGTTGGGATTTTTGCGGCTGTAAGCCTACAGTAACTACTGCTACTGAAACTCCTCTGCACAAGCTGGAAGTCATAAAATTTATGGTTAAAATTAGTTGTTCTGTTACCATGAAGTTGGAGTTATGTGTTAAAGTTTGACCTTGAGATTTTAGCATAATTCAATAAAAACTACAGAAAAAGGGTAACCTATTTTTTTTAAATAAATAAAACATTTTAGGGTTTATTTTAGGTATACATTGTAAATTTTTAGTTTAACATTTAGGAGTTCTCTTTAATCCTGTTTTTTATTAATCTTTAACAATTTTGCAACCTGTTTGAGTCTAACATTAGTTAGAAGAAGTTATATATAGTCAGGGTAAGCATGTAAAGTTGATTTTTTTTTATAGCTTTGATAATTATTTTAAAGCTTATCAAGCATTCACAATATTGAGACAATACATTTTTTCATGTACGTCTTTTGACATTGATGTTGTTCTGCACATTTTGTGCTATTTTAACAGTTTATACATCAAAGCAGCTCCTTCTGGACATTCTGGCTGTTACCTTTCATATTTCAGCAATTTAAAAAAAAAGGTATTTGGCCTTTTCAGCCATGTTGTTTTATCATTAAAAATGAACGACGCTTCATTCAACATCCATAAAACCCTTCAAAAATGTTTATAAACAGTTTCTGCACTTTTCACCATTTGTTCTGGTTTTGCTGTTTTTTGCTTCCTCTGCTTTGTTTTTTGTGCTAAATCTAACTTTTTTCTGATTTTCAGCTGTTTTTCTGCTCTTTTCAGCTATTCTGTTGATTTATAAAAATTGTACTTATTTTAGCTTCTGTCTTCAAATTTAAATTTTTATGCTTATTTCAGCTGTACTTCTCCAGTTTAAGCTTCTTTTTACCTATTTCAGCCATTTTGTGTTGTGATTATTTTAGCTACTTCTTTTAACTGTTTAATTCAATAATTTGTCTTTCTGCTTCTTTGTATTAATTCAACTTTTCCAGCAATGCTTTTATCTACTTTTCTTCTAAGTTCAGCTTTTTTTTTGCCTATTTTACAACAAATTGCATTATTTTGTACATTTTTTTCTGCAATTATTATTAAGCATTCATGCTGCATTTTCACAGGAAATGCAATTTGTCTATTTGCATTTTAGTTAAACATTAACTACTTGATCAGTGTGGTTGCATTAAACTGTTAATTGATTTTTATGCCTGATTTTGTCATTTAAAATCTTGACATGCTGAAACATAACCAGCACTGTCAGCTTGAGAAGGTTACTCACACCAGAGGCATCCTACGCATGTGTGAAACCAACGTGTTAGATGTGATTTGAAAAACTGGAAAAGGGAAATCACAGAATCGGTCTAATGACGCAGAAGAAAAAGTTGAGTTTTAGTCTTAAAAGGAAATAAGCGGACATAAATGTGGGAAACATTTGACAAGAAAAAAAGTCACCGATGATGAAGAAAATAAGAAACTAATATTCAGTTCTGCTTTCTACTGAAGTGGCCAAACAAAAAATAAAAAAGGAAACATTTCACAAGTATAATTCAAGAAAACTGCATGCTGTTCTCAAAAAATGAAAATGGATGGCAGTGGTGGTACTTTACCATGTGTAGTAGATAAGATTTATTATTTTTTGTATTAATTTGAACTCGTAATTTTTTTTCTTATGCGCTTCGACGTGTTAGATTCACAAATGTTTGAAAGTGGTTTTTGTTTCGTTCATGCCTGTGATCTTCTGGGTGCAACATGCTGGCTCTTTCCTGTCGTTTAGCCACAAACATAAGTGCTGTTAGTGGAAAATCCACCAGCACCTTCACCCATCTTTGTCAGCAAGAATTCATTGACATGTGTTTGCATTCTTGACTGTGTCCATTAATTTTGTGTTTTTAGTGTGAAAGCAGTCAGTTTTATGTCTTCAGCCGTCACAGTAGCTCCTCATGAGACTGACTGATTCCTGTGGAAAGAATCAGAATAAAAAATCTCCACTAAGTGATTGAACTCTGACATAAACCTCTCTGTCCTTTGAAGTGATTATTTTGTTTTTTCTCCTTTTATCCTGAACCGACATCGCTTCAGTGTAACAGTTAATGTGACCTTCATTACTTCTTTCCTCCTCTTCCTTGCGAGTCTCCTGTGATCTGCAGAGAGATGTGCTGTAATTTAGTTGCCCTTCACTTCAGGTGCTCCGTCCTTGCAGCAGGCAGTTTTCTATCTTCCTCCTCCAAAATGTTTTTTTTCTCTGCGACTCGTCTACCCAGGTGTTTTGCTATACTGCAAGCACAAGGCAACAGAGGGAGTTATATTCAGGGTTATTTTCACTGTATGCCTTCCGCTTCTGTCAACAACTTCTGCAAGTGTTCCCACATTGTGAAGGCCCTGCTGCAGACTGCTATATTGTTATGCATGCTGAAATGATACCTTTTTATTTGTATGTAGATGTGTGTGTGTGTGTATGTACATAGCTCCTGATACTCTGCATTTTTACACCAACCAAAAATTTTAATGAGTCTTGGCCTGCTCTGGAATTCAGCAGCGAGTCTCATTAGTGGAGAGTCTGCCATGCTCCTGTGCCTCTAATCTCCGTCTTGTCAGCCGTCATCCCACTGAGCATTAGGATCTCTAATAATTCATTTGACATGATGACACTCATGGACAGTGCATAATTATTTTATGTCCTTTTCATGTTTGAGTGGGAAAAGCAGACGTGTATTAACTGTGTGTTTGAATCCTCTTTTCATTTTTAAGGTAACTTGGGCAGAGCAACAGGTGTCAAAACGGAGGAAAAAGAGAGATACYGAAGTGGAATTTATAGACCCCAAGTATAAAGAACAGTGGTACCTGGTGAGTATTAACATCTGAGTGAATGAAGATGTGTGTGTTGAATGTTACTGGGACACAATTTAGGACTGAACCGTTTCAAATAAACATTGGACAATAAATTTATAAGTGTATATGATGTTAAACTGAGTCGATAGGCATCCAGAGATATATTAAAATATGATTTTTGTGTGAAATCCTGTTGACTGTCTTGGTGCCAAAACAGGAAACAAGATGTGTCACTGTTTTCATCTAAAAGATTCTGGTTCCACTTTGGTGTCCTTCATAAAGATTAAATTTAAATTATAAATTAATAAAAAAGCTCTGGTGTGGTGCAGGTTTACTGTTGTTCATAAAAAGCACAAAAATAAAATGTAGCTCACATCAGGGGTGATTTATTTTGAACTGGTCTTGTTTTTATTGGATTGATTTTTTTTTCACTTTGGTGTCCTTCATAAAGATTAAATTTAATTATATATTAATAAAAAAAGCTCTGGTGTGGTGCAGGTTTACTGTTGTTCATAAAAAGCACAAAAATAAAATGTAGCTCACATCAGGGGTGATTTATTTTGAACTGGTCTTGTTTTTATTGGATTGATTTTTTTTTTTATACATTTGACTTGAGGAATGCCACTGATACATTGGCCTGTTAAAAGCAGCGGTAACAACTCTTGAGACTTTCTGCTCAGCACCTCTCTTCAATTACTGCACGGTTGCTCCAGGCTGTAGATGATTCATGGTGATGCAAAACAGACTTCTTTTAAAAAACAGCTGCGCTTTAGCAGACTGTGCTCCCCATGAGTTGTAGTTAGTTAGCGGAACCTTGACAGAAAAGGCAGAGAAAGACCAACACGGCCTGTAGTGTTACTAGTAGTAATACATTCTGCCAAGATGACAATACATAGGACTTATTATATTCCACTGGTGGTTTAAATAAAAGATCTGAAGTATAAAAGCACTTTTGGTGTTTTCTAGTTTCAGATAATGACAATGTCTTTCACAGTCACACAGAATTCAAAATGTTTGTAGGAAATTGTTTGTCTAACTTTTATTTTCTTATTTCTTCAAAAATCAAGTTATTTTTCTTTTTGACCTGTGTAGCTGGTTGTACACTCCATATTTTTAGACCTAATTAGAAGTATAAATGCGTAGGAAAGCTTGAGTCGCTTTGACAAGTTCTGCTCCTCTGTTAGTTCTGTAGGTGAGCTTGAATCTCAGTAAGTTGAACTAGGTTGAAGGTMTGTTAGCAGGATGTTGTTTGTGACATGCTCATGTTCGTGCACTTTTTTTTAATATACAGTATATCTATATATTTTTTTAATTTACTATTTTATTTAAAAAAATCTGAATTTTTTCAGTAATAACTGTCACAGAAAAGTCTCAAAGCAAAGACAAAGTAAGTGCGCTGAAAAGGAGAAGATGCAACACTTCAACCACGGAAGGACTTTTCAGCCTGTAAAATCACACCTTTCTGTGGTTTAAGTAAAGATGTTGCATGGTTGACGAATAAACTTAGTTCTGTCTGATCAGCGACACTCACTTGTGCTTCAATCCAAGAGGAGAAAGCTCTGAATGACACATCAGACGCATTATATTTTAATGCTAAACTTTGAAAAGAGCGCCTTTGAACTGCATGAAAGCCAGACGTAACTTTTGATAAAAGGTCAATTTAAATGTCAAAAGTCATCAAAAAGCATGCAGAATGATTACCGCCACTTCACAGTTAATTTCCTTTGCTTAGTTGTTAATAAAGAGACTAATGAGTTCAAATGTAATACTTATGGGCTTAAAATACCTATTTTTGCTGCCTGTCACTTTCCCCCTTTTTAATGTGACAGTTTTACATAGCAGCCCACTTTCTCTGATGTCTTAGTTGAAATCTTTTCATCTTGACATTTCAAGATAAACACAAGAGCTTAAAATATCCCTGTTTTAATTAAATTCAACCTAATTTATTGCTTTCTTCCTCCTCAGTACAACAACAACCACAATGACTTAAACGCAAAAGGTGCGTGGGCTTTAGGCTACACAGGAAGAGGTGTAGTCGTGTCCATCCTAGATGATGGAATAGAGAAGAACCATCCGGACCTGATGCAGAACTATGTGAGTATAACAGCAAACACATCAAAAGCACATATTTCTAATTGAAAAGGAAGTGGCTTCCAGCTATCGAACACTTGATTTGTTAAATAATAATGAACCAGCCGTTTTTGCATCTGACAATACCGACGCTTCTGTCTTTTTTTAAAGGACCCGGAGGCCAGTTACGATGTGAACGATGGCGATCCAGATCCTCAGCCTCGATACACTCAGCTTAATGACAACAGGTACACAGATTGCATTTTATTTTGTCTTATCCTGAAAGTGGAGGATATGTCAAAATAAAATTAATAATAAATTAGTGTTAGATTGTTTTTTTTCACTTTAGGTGGCTGATGGCTATGTTCATTATTTAGTGATAAAGCTTCAGGTTGTTTATCTAGTGTTGAATGTCTGCTGCTTTGTGAGGAAGTTATTTGAAGTTTTTATTTTTTTTTCACCCCTGAATGAATTCTCATCACACTCGTTTTCTGGATTCAGTTTTTTTCAAACCCAAACGCCACCGCATCTTTTCAGTCTGGGTAAAATCTGTTCTGGTATTTATTTAAAGTATTGTCTGAAGGAGACGGCGTTATTGCGGCGGCATCTCCAGATGACATCGGGGTGTTGTTTATCACTGCAGTTAGGCCCCACGGAGAATTGGATTGAACAAAGTTCATCAGCATTAATGAAACAACAAATCTCTTGGCTTGGAAAGGTCCTTCCTCATCTTCCTTCGTCCTCACTGCCTACCTCCTCCTTCACTTTAATTCCTGATTTGCAGTAATCTGCTGTGGGCTTCTGGCCTGGGAAGCTGTTTAACTTGAAACTCAGCATTATTGCTGATGATAAGCAGAGAAGATTGGTCTTTGGCTTGGATGAAACTCTGATGTCTCYATCTTAGAGAGATGTATTTGGCTCTGTGTATATGGCAGCCAGTCAAAGCTACAGAGGAACTCACATACTGTCACTATGCTTATGACTTATCTGGAAACAGGGAGGCTGTAGCTGTGCAGATGAATTCAAACTAAAAATAGAATTTACTTGTTTCAAACCACGTACAAAGAGTAAAGGTTTTGATGTATAGGGAAACAAACCACAATATATCATGGGTTTCCAATGCAGACTGGTCGAGTGTTTCTTATACCACTGTCCTAGAAAATTCTCTCACCATTAGAAAAACCTTAAATGATTGAATTCTGTGTGAGAGCCTGTTGGAGAACTGTACTGGTTGTGCAGCTTCACGCATCTAAAATCTGTGCCAAAGCAAGTTTAGGCTCCTCTGTTGACTCGTCGTGACACAAAGTCCAGCTAAGACCTTTCTTTTTGAGGTTTGTCTTTCTTCGGATGATCCTGTCAACAGTCACACACATCTCGACTCCAATTGAACAGCCCCGTGTGTCTTAACTCTGACTGGATCAATTGAGACTGAGTATATCTGTGTGTGTGTTAGTGTTTGTGTTTCCTTAACTTTACAGTGGTTTTGGTTCATGATGCATGTGTAAACAACATGTAGGAGGGCACGAAACGGCGTAAGCTTGTGTGAGACTGTAGCTGACTGTTTTCTGCAAAAAAAAAAAAAAACCCAACTCAGTTTGCTTTCATAAAGCTGTCTTTCTTTCCCAGCATACAAGCAGCAGTGAGCTCCACTTTACCCTTATGTTTATCTAAAGCAGCATGGGATCGACTGTAGATGTTTCTCTTTCCAGGGATTTCTCTGGCCTCTATCAGGAACAAAAATGTGCCAGTTTACCCACCTTCGTTATACTCTGACGTTAGTTCATTTGAACTATACAAGTTCTCATCTATTTGCCTTGTGTGACAATAACATTTAAAAATAATGAAAAATATCCAGCACACGGCTATAAATAAAATAACCCACAGATCCAAACAAGTTGGTAAAGTCTAACTGCATTAATTTCTTTTCTGGAGCAGTGCTTTATGCACCTCTCGTTTCTGAGCTCTATAAACATCATCAGATCTTTTGTGCTGGAGGCCAGCTCATTAGTTAACTGGCAGCACCATTAACAGACCTAAGAATGAACAGAGCGAAACACTTGTTCAGATTTACCTTTGAGGTTTAGTGAAGCCAGGAGACTAATGAACTGCAAATGCCACTATCCGTAGCCTCAAGATCCTCAATGATTTTTTTTTCCTAATGTAATTAAGCTCTAATGCTGCATGAAGAAAAGTAATGTGTCAGATTTTGAGACTGGATTTTTAAAGAAGGAAAACACATGAAGTATTACATATTTTATTAATATTACAATATTAATAATAAGAAACATAATTATTTTAGTATTTGTTTATGCATCACAGGAAGACTGGTGTCTTTTTTATATAAAGAGTCAGAAAAACAGATTTTGAAGTAATTTTTATTATACTTTCATCAAAGTATGGACATATTATGTTATAGTCTCTGTACATCCCTATGTTCGTAAACTCTCTCTTGTCTGGACCTTAACTTCTGATCTACTCCAGATAATTTAATAAAACCTGAGACACACATGCATCATCATTAGCTGGAGTGTCGTTTACACTTTGCATCACCTCAGCTTCAAGGTCACAAATCAAGGTCAAAGTTAAAGTAAGGTCTTTGCATGCTAGGGCCGTTAACTTCTGATCTGCTCAAGATAATTTAATGAAACTTTATACATATATAATATGTAACAATAGGCTTAACAACACAGTGTTGTGATAAATGAATGACACCAAAGGAATAACGATGTCACAATGCACTAAGGCCTAATCAGTCATTGTAATCATTCATTATGTGCCTTTGGTCCTACAGCAATTCAGGGGTGATGTGCAGCGGTCACACACGAACCTCAGATTCCACATCGAAGATGGTATCTTGTGTTAGTGATAAATGTTTTCTTCATCATTCCAGAGTCACAGTTTATGAAAGAAACATTGCTCAGAATTAGTATTGCTTTGAGATAACAGTCCATTGCTATAGATTACTGTATATAATAGTTTGTCTCTGGGCGTATAATGTGCCATATTCAATACTATTGTTTTCTTACCTCTCTGTTGCTTTGCAGGTTGATATAAATACTTGTTTTTTCTTCTGTTTTCAAAGACACAGTGTAGAAACATCTGTGTGACAGTTGGGCATCTCTTCAGCACATCCTCAGGAAGGCAGTTCAAGTTTTCTACAATGATGATAGTTTTTCCAGCTGTGGGTTTAACCACTGATATCATACTGTTGGCCTCAAGCTCACTGAACTCAGCTAAAGTTGTGGAAACCTGCCTGTTGTTCTCCGTATTGTCTGCAATTGGAAGCTTGTTCTCGTGTTCAGAACAAGAGTTTAGCTGAAAGTACCTTCTGTTCACTTTAGTTTTCTGTTATTGGGAAGTTGAAATGACTGTGCCATTTATAAGGAGTGAAAAGTGCCCCTTATTTTCCTTTTACTTGAAATAATTAAGACTGTTGAGAATAGATAAAGGCATGAAAAGATTTAGTCAAATCACATTCATCTTCCCGTAACTGCAGTCAAATATGAGCCGAGTGTAAAATTAATGCTGTTAAAGGAAAAGTAAAATGATTTACATTATGCTGGCATGTCAGAGTCAGGGACATCAACACTTTGTTCAATCAATCAAACAAACAAAACTACCAAAGCAGTTTAATGTTGAGCATATATTTATAGTTGAGAAAGAAATGGTGATTATTTTAGTATTCTTTAGTATTACACATTCAGGAATTACAGAAGTTTTAATTGAGCTGCACATTTTAACAACTGACTGAACATATCTGCACTGAGACGATCTCCTGTACCACACCAGTACCTCTTTAGTTCTTTCTCTCTAAACCCTGATCCTCCTGTTCAAACCCATGTCTTCTCTGATAACTTCATTCTTGTCAGATCCTTGGAACTATAGAAATGAAGACGATTAATTCTTCCTGTCTCGTCTTGCTCTCTTTATTAGAGCACTGCTTGTTCCTTAAACCTCATGATTGCTCATCCTAATGACAGAAATTACCTTCTATTAAGAAATAGAAGTATTCTGTTTTTGTAAGTTTTGGCTGCAAAGTATTAAAGGCTTTAGTACGGGTTTCATTTTCTATAACCTAATGACAAAAGAAGACAAATAACCGTCCTACACTTAGAAGATATTTCTCGCTTTTCTRAGACAAACGGTTGATTTTAAACATTGCAATCTTTTTTTTAAATGATAAAACATTTTTATTTTGAACAAACTACCCATCTTGCCATTTTTGTGCAGGTCTCAGGGGATCAATAAAAAGTTTGTTTATGAAAATTATATGAATCCTACGGTTTGGCCTTCACACACTAAATCCCAACCTATTTAAGTACCTGAGAGAATTCAGACTGACAGTTTATCCAGGTGCTTTCTACCACAAACATCTGGTTTTCTCCCATGATTGATTTATACAATCAATGCCAAACTATGCTGAAGGTATTCGAAGAGCACATGGAAACTCATCTCGCCCCTGAACCGCAATTTGTTGATTCTTTAGGTGGTTTGTCATCTACGAGTTGTAGTTTATACTTTCTCCGGCCAAAAAAAGCACTTTTAGGATCTTTAGTTGAATCATAGTTTCAACGTGCATAGTTTCAAAAAACTTGTTTAAACTTGTTGTAATAATAATGATAATAACAATACATCAAACTTGTATAGCACTTTCTAGGACACTCAAAGACAGTTGATGGTGGTAAGCTACAATGTATCTAAACGTAAGTGTAACATATTACTGCTTTTATTTTTATTCTGGCCTTTGTTACCATTTCTACTATAATTTTGTTTGTTTTTCCAGTCATGTAAAAGTCTAAACTCTGGTTTCAACAAGTGTGAGAAGTTAGATAACATACTGAGTCAGCTTTATCATTTCATCTGTGCCAGGAAAATAACTTCCCAATTCCTGATRACAGTTCTTGCATAATCGGGGTCCAGAACTTCACCTCTTAAAAGCTTTTTGTGCTTATTATAAATCACTTCTCGTGTTGATGAAAAGTAACGAATACTGAAACATAAATTATAAGGAAAAGGTTCCGCTGACCACAGGAGAGATTAGCTTGTGCGTGTCTGGCATCTCGCAGCAGACACACAGCTCCTGTTTATTATCTGCCTCACAAACACAGATGCTTAACAACATAATACTCCAAAGTCAGTAGACTACCACTTCTGGGAATGTTCTTGTAAATTTCTGTGGAAAATTGCTCAAATGACGTTTTTCTTGTCTGTGTGTTTGCCTTTTGTTGTACACAAAGTTGTTTTAAAATCTAGCAGCGGTTCTGTTAACATGCTCCAGAAGGATCTTGGCTCCTGCGCCCTGTAACACGTTGGAGATGTTGTGTCGGTTGTTGAGTGTGGAATTGACGTTAACCTTTCCCCTCCCGATGTCTTAAGGTAACTCAGGGGAGTGGTAAATAAATTCCAATCCTCTAACCTTTTGTCAGTAAATCAAGTCTCTAATAAAAACATAAGTGACTTTTAATTAGTACCGTAGGCTGGGTTAGACCCTCCTGTGACCTTAGACCCCTCATTTTGTTTTGGTCCTGTTTAAAATGCACCTCTTGCAGCACATTGTACAGCTGATTAATAACCAGTATTATCACTTTTGGCAGGCTACAAACCAAATATCTATAATCTGGTATCATCTTGATGTCTKTTCTGTCTGTGGGGGATGTTGGCTGCTCTTTTAGTGTTTAATTATTTTGTTTTCGGTCTTTGAAAGCCACAGAAAATGCGTCATCAGAGGCCTTCTGTTTCAGATGGTTCCTTCAGCTTTAAACGAGTTGCAGGGAATCCAGCTTTCTTGGCTTGGAATGGCTGCAGTCCAAAGGGATTGTGCTTTGGTGTAGAGGACATTGAGGGTGCATATCTGGCAGAAAAGGGTAACACACCTGACTGGAATGTGATCATCGACTCGTCTAAAGCAGCTTTTTGGACCTGTACGCTGTGGTGCCTAGAGCTAAGTCTTACCACAGGGGCTCATGTTTAATGAAAATGGCAAACCTAATTTACTGCTTCCTCCCAGGTGGTTTGTCTTTTTCCCTTGCTTTTATACAGACTTTAAGCAATTCAAGTTTACTAATGCTGCAAAGCTGGAGATAATGCACAATGGATTGTGTTCATTGATGAATTTGTTTGTTCAAAGCTATYGGGGCCAAGAACCTGTCTCCCTGTGTTTGTGTTGTCTCACTCTGCAGCCTGACCACAGTTCACGGTGAAACCAATCATTTTCCCTTCGACCTTTAATAAACATTTATCCAGCCCGTGGGTACGTGTACAGTAAAAGGCTGTGTCAATAGGTGGGTGGCACTTACAAGGATAARATGTTTCCCTTCTCACTTTTATTTTTTTTTCTCTCTTATTCAGGCATGGGACAAGATGCGCAGGAGAAGTAGCAGCAGCCGCTAACAATGACATCTGTGGAGTTGGTGTAGCCTACAATGCAAAGATTGGAGGTATGATGTGGATGAATAATTTGATCTCGCAGAGGCAAACGTTTAACTGACAGAACAGTCAAATAGTGTAATGATATACAAGCCCTGCAGTGCCTGTGTTATTTTCACTTTWTTTCTCGGGCACAGCATGTCACTAAATCTTTTTAAGCATCACCACAGTTTGCTGTAAGTGTATTGGTTTTGCATTGAGTAACAGCTCCGAGATGTAGTCTGTGAAATGACACAGCGCGATAGCTTTGATTCGCTCAGCTTTAATTTAGTGTCAGACTCACTCGCTGTTCGTAGTTTGTAGGAAAAGCTGGTGTAACTCATTCCTCCCATTCTGCATCCTATCAACAGTGAGGGGAAACATTTTAAACAGCTTTCAGCTCAAAAAAACCAACACCAGCAACTGCCGTTTATGTGGATGTTGCTGGTTTGGGCTTTGTTTAGTTGTAAATCGCTTTTAATAAGCTTCACAAGGACTGAGTTTGGATCAGACGTCTTGTGTTGGATTGCTTTAAACTTCACCCAAGAAACTAATCAGTCACAGAACAAAGTAGTGACAGAATTGTAACAATTTGTTCCAAATCTTTTTTATTTTTATTATATGTGGACGAGTGAAGGAAAATCTACAATCCAGATTTAATTTTTATCATGTCACAAAAAGCTTAAGTTGTTTGTAATAAACATTTAAGAGGTGACAGAATTTGTTGGTCTTCAGTTTTGAAGTCTCAGACATGCTGCTAACAAATGTCACACAGCGTCTGTCAACACAGCAGCGTAACAAAGATTAGGGAACGCCATTAAAATGATGAACTTTTCTGTTTAGTTCTTGGTTTTACTTGAGTTTTCAGATGTTTTCCATCCTAAAAGCTAAACTTATGAAGCTGTCTTTAAGCCTGTCAACTTGAAACAAATCTTTACCACTAATTATCATGCTATGGTTCAAGCATCCTCGTTTAAAAGTAATAAAAAATTAATTTGTTTACAACTGTTTGCCTGTGACAGAGAACTAATTGCAGTAGAATTATAATTTATGAGAAGATACAAAAGTGATGCTGTGCAAGTTGAAGTTCAGAAAAGGAGAAATGTCGATCATCTGAAACAGTCAAATAGCTTCACGCGTGCAGATTTACCCAACAGTTGGCAGGAAGCTTCAGGATGAAATGAAGCCTCATTTTACAGATGTTGATTAAACCTTTTAAAAAGAACCATGAGTGTTACACTTAATGTTCAGCCTCAGGGACATTAAATAGTTTCGCTMAAAGCAGGCTTCCACAAACATCTCATCTACTGTCCCTCTGCTGCGATTCAAGCTCAAGATGGTCTTTTGATTTTAGTGGGAGAAAAATATATTTCAGAAAGATTTTTGTTTTTGTAAATTGTTTGAACTTTAAAGTTGCGTACTTTTAAATCAACCTCTTATTTTAATCAGAAAAACAAAATAGAAGGTTGTGAAACTTGAATATTTTCTGTTATTTAAAAGAGATATTAGACACTCAGAGAAAATATAACTGTGTTCAGTTATTTGCTTTTTCTCAGGTTTCTTCATTACTTCTATTTCCTTTCTTTAATTTCAGTTTAGTTGGAGTCTCTGTTCACGTCTCTAAAAGTTAAAATCTGATACAATTTACTCTCAGAGTTGCTCTAATTTCAGCCCCCCCCCCACCTCCCCCAAAAAATGTTTGCTTTTATGCTTTCATCTCTTAGATGAATTTTTAGTCCCAGAGGTCTGCTTTACACTGGAGGAGATAGTTCACCCACAATTCAGCTGATCTCATTCCTGTTTTTTACAACCAACTCAAGCGCTGAAGAAAATCAATAGAGATACAGTTTGAATTATTTGTTCAGGTCCATAGTGGTATCACAGTGGATGCACAGGAAATAAACAGCAGCTGTGCACACTAAACAGACATCAAAAGGACACCCGTATAATTTTGTAAATTAATTTGTAAATATGTTAAGAATAAAAATGCCTTGTCCTTTCACTTTTATGTACATTTTCAAGTTTGAAACATTCTATAAAATATCAAATACACTACATATCAGAATTACAGTGTTAAACATGGTGAACTCTGTTATTATTGTTGCTTTTTATCTCATCGTTTTCCTTATGATTCAGTAAGCCCTAAGCAGAAATCTGCTTGGTAACGTGGTTGCAGGTGTGCGGATGCTGGACGGAGAGGTGACCGACATGGTGGAGGCCCAGTCTCTCAGTCTGAACCCTCAGCACATCGACATCTACAGCGCCAGCTGGGGCCCAGAGGATGATGGCAAAACTGTGGATGGACCCGCCAAACTGGCCAAAGAAGCCTTCCTGCGAGGAGTCACAGAGGTGGGAGTCCGATTGTGTGACAGAGTTATTTACTGCCCGTGTGTTGCTTCCTTTCAGCTGTAAGTAATTGAACTGTTCAGGCATGAGAGGACACCAGTGGGAAGAACAAAACGGTTTTTGACCTTGACATTTATGAATGGGAAGTAATGTCCTCTAAAAACCACCAGGGAGAAAAATCTGGGAAAGTGAATAAGAATCAGCTCTGGTCATTATCAGTTTTTATTTATTTAGTTTTTATGTTTTAAGCCTTTTGTTTCAGCTGAAGAGTAACACTTTTAATAGTTTTAGCTATCATGTTGGTTTATTATAACCTCGTGCTTTGAAAAAGTTTGATTTAAGCKTTTACCACAGCTTTTATCTACAGATACACTTGAGGTGAATTTTTAAGTTAGTCTGTCTGCATCAATCTGCACAGCGGTCTGCATATTAAAGAAGAAAAGGAAGCACAGAGGCATGTCAACAATCCTGTTCTTGATCACAGCCTTTTGCATTGAGCACAATGGGACTACATGAGAAGAGTGCAAACCAACAGATTAAAAATACAGATTACATTCTGAACTGTCACATCTGCTCTTCATAAAAAGCTCTTGATCCAAAGAGCGTTGACTCTTGTTGTGGAGCTGCAGCGTTCAGGGCTTCTGCCATAAAGCTGATTGGAACCACTGACACTGACTGCTGGGATAATTGGCACGGTGACAGCACTGTCAGATAGTAGTTGGGTGGCGCATAGCTGGAATTGATCAGTGCAGAGAGTGATGGTGCCACTCAATACAATAAAGCAGCTCTTAGATGAAAATTATTGCACTTCAAARGCTGAGAGCTGGGATGATTTATTACAAYGAGCTGTTGTCATTTTGATCCTCTTTGTATTGCACTGCTGTCATGCAATATTTAGCTCTTTACAATTTACTGAGTGACCACCCAGGCCTCTGCGGTGTAGGCCCAGTTTTAATGGGGCCCTTTTTGAAGGGCGCCCTAAAATGAATTTTCCCTCCTGTAATTGGGATTCCTATTAAAGACTGAATGAGATTTTGTTCTTGTCTGTGTACCGTTACTCTGCACCGGAATTAAATGAAAAGAAGTGAGGTTTTTTTTTTCTGTTTCTCTGAATGTACTTTTCTCCTCCCCTCACCAGGGTCGTGGTGGTTTAGGATCCATTTTTGTGTGGGCTTCAGGGAACGGAGGAAGGGACAAGGACAGCTGCAACTGCGACGGCTACACCAACAGCATTTACACCCTGTCCATCAGCAGCACCACACAAAACGGCAACGTCCCCTGGTACAGCGAGGCTTGCTCCTCCACCCTCGCCACCACCTACAGCTCGGGGAACCTTAATGAGAAACAGATAGTGAGTCGTGGCTGTCTGCAGTGTCCTCTCTGTCTTTGTCTGCCTGGTCTTGTTTCCCTCACACGAAGCGTTGGCTTTCACTCAGAGTTTTTCCCCTTGGTTTGTGCTGAAACAAGGAGACTGTGTGCTCCTAAAGTAAAGTTTAGTAGATCTGCTCTCCCTGTAAAAGAGAAAAAAATACTTTTGCCCTGAAGGAATTATCCAAGTGTGCAAATTTAATGATACTTTTTCCTCTATTTTCCCAACAAATTTTGAAAAAGAAGCCTGTTGTAAATTTCTCATGGGTCAGTGTAAAGCCTTTAAAATCCAAACCCTAAAGATGCAGTTTACTATTCTAAAACTCCCAGAAAATATTGACGTTTACGAGAAAGAAAGCAGGGAGGGCTTGTTTTTGCCAGAAAACTGAAAGCCACAATAATGGCTGTGAATTAGAGAGCATTACAGATTTTTTTGGTCTTTTTTTTGGAGTGCATGCATTAGTGATCTGTTTGACTTGTTCATGACTGAGAAAGGAATTGACAGAATAAAAAACAAAATCCTTTGTTTGACATCCTCTAAAGCCTTCGTTTCCACAGTTAAGGCCGGGCCCCCACTGTGGGTCATGAAACACCCCATGGAGGGTCTCAAAGAAGAATTACAGGAATCAAGTTAACTTTTAAAACGTTTGCAGATGGTGTTTATAGCTCCATTTATAAAAATATAAAAACAGAAGTCATAAATGGATAAAAAAGATGACTGATTGGGAGCTCTTTATCAGATTGTTTATTATCATATTTTTACTTTTCAACCAGCAGCAGTCTGGACCATGAGTCTCTGCAACATTTATATTGTGGGTCAGAAGCTGAAATGTTTGGGAATCGCTGCTCTAAAACAAGTTAAGGATCATTTAGAGGAGTACAAACTTTCAAGAAGAGTTTAGACCAGAGTTGTTGCCCTTCAGCTTTGAAAAGAGCCATTTAAAGTGATCCAAGCAGCCTGTTCAGATGCCTTCAGGAGAGTGTCCAATATGTCCAAAAGGAAGTGTGCCGGACAGATTGTATCTATTGACTTTGTAATTCCTCAGTGACTCTTCAGGAGGTCCAATGATAGTTACCAGACTGGAAAAAACAAGTTGAAAATGAATGTTTGATTAATTTACAGTCAGAACAATTGAAACACTAAAATATTTACACCAACAGAACAATAAGCACGTTTAGCTTATACCAGTCCAATGAATCATCATATATGATTTGTGTAGTTTGTAGTCATTAAAGGTATTATAAATTGTTGTAGTCTAACATTCTTGTTAGAAGCGTTAACACTCAGACCTGAGCATCCTTTTTTAATTTAGTAATTTTGTTTTCTCTACATTCAGCCTAGCAGTGAGACAGATAGTTTAAGACATCTCTGTGACTTATGGCTGCTCCTGTAATGCTCCTGTTGTACTCATTTAATTATGATGTCACCCGTGGAAGCTGGGAATGATGAGCTGGAGGAGAGGAGAGACGGTGAAGCTCTTGTTATGCAGGAGAGAATATCCAAATGTCTGTATTTTTTTTCTAATTTATAGGCTTCTTTCAATGTAAAGCAGCAAATGTATTCCTCGGATACTCCTCGAAGCATAAGAATCATTAAAAAAATTCTGCCTATGCATTTATTATACTGGAGAAAAAGATAAGTTTCTGTATGCTCAGCACTGGTTATCATATTTCTGATTCTTAAAGCTGTTTTTCTATCAGTGTTATTCAGTAATCTTATTTTTTGGACMATTCACTTGGACTGCAGCTCTTTTTTATTTTCACAAAGCAGAGTTTTGTAACTACTACATTTATTTTCTTTGCATCAATTCTCTGGCTCTGCAACAGTTTACCTTTCATTCATGCGGCAGGAGAAACCTCAGCTGCCTTCTGTGGACGGATATCTGCTGAAGTAGTTCTTTCTTTAAAAGAAAACAAAAACAAACGGTGATCTTCCTGAAGAGAATAACAGCATATGATATTCTCTGTTTGATTTTTATATCTGGTGGTTTTTTATTCTTAACGTTCTGCTTCTTTGTGCAGTCGGCGATTTCCGCCTCTAGCAAAAACATACAGTACGAGATAAGTTAAAGAACTGTTAACACTAAAGGAATTTGCTCCTAAAAGTACATTCTGCTCATWTTCTGAAAAGTTTTCACCTGTTTTTACATTTAGTGATGTAATTTATATTAATGGAATAAAACTGTTGGAGTTAAGCTTTTTTGTTCTCATCCTTTCTAGGTAACTACAGACCTGAAATCAAAATGCACGGACTCCCACACAGGCACCTCTGCTTCCGCCCCGCTGGCTGCTGGGATCATCGCTCTCGCCCTTGAAGCAAAGTAAGTGCTTATCACCACTTTTCTGAGCTCGGCCTCGAGTTGCTCTTCAGTCGTGATGCCTCGTTTTAATTTTCACCCATTCATCTTTCTCTTTTTTTAAATAAATTCAAGTCATTGCTGTGAAAGGAAAATAAGTAAAAGCAYGACTTTTGTACAATAAGCTCATTAGGGTGTGAGATAAAAAATCTGAATAAAGCTAAAGTTTAAMTCTCCACCTGTTATTAGTTTCTGGCTTGTAGGTGAAAGCTTCTTGACAGCTAATGTTTGTTATAAAAGAAGATTAATATTATTATTACAGTATAATATACTCAGTCATTTTTGTTGCTATTTTTAAAGCTCTTGTGTTCAGCAGAAACTGCCTGTTAGCACGTTAATTTAGCTCAATTATCCCATTTTTCTGACGCAGACTTCTTTAACCTTTTTGTCACATATTCAAACCGCACTTTTAGAAATACATCTGTGGACTAATTGTTCTAACTTTGTCACACTGAGCTAATGGGGCGCAAAATAAAAAGTGGAATTAGTCCTAAAAATGAGTAATTACTTGTGCAACAGGTAGGAAAAAAATACTGCAATTATGAAGGATGTTGATATGGATATAAAGTGAAGATATTTCATATAATGCTGTCAGTGAGTGTAAAACATCAATGTGTACTTATTTTATTTTATTTTATTTTATTTATCGTTATTTAACCAGGCAAGTCCTGTTGAGATCACAGATCTCTTTTTCAAGGGCGGCCTGGGCCTGAAGACAACCTATTGTACATGTTTTTAGAGGTGTGGGGGAAACCGGAGTACCCGGAGAAAACCCACACAAGCACGAGGAGAACATGCAAACTYCACACAGAAAGACCCCAGGTCCAAACAGGGATCAAACCCAAGACCTTCTTGCTGTGAGGCGTCAGTGCTAACCATGCYGCCTTATGTATGCTCTGATTTTAGCCTGCATCACAAAATGTTTAGCTAAAGGGCAGACATGGACTTGAAGCACACGTTGATTAAAGATTTAATCAAACACAGGCAGGACTTAAACCTTGTTTTAATTAGCTGTCYGTGTGCAGTTTTTAACAGTTCAAACCTGGTCAGAGGAACCTCTTTGATCTGTTTTAGGGGCTCAGCTTGATTTATAAGCCAGATCCTTGCCATGCCTGTTTACTCTGTCTGTGTATATCTTTTTTTACGTGACTGTGTGTGCTTGCCTTCTCACCTTTTCCAGTAAAAACCTCACCTGGAGGGACATGCAGCATCTGGTTGTTAGAACTTCTCGCCCTGGTAACCTGGTTGCATACGACTGGAGAACCAACGGCATCGGACGCAAAGGTACAGCAGCGTTCTCCAAGCCTGACTCCACCGTCTGCAGCGAGGAGACACCTTGTGAATTCAATAAAATACGTTAATCTAAAAAGTCACAYTAGCCGTGTTTCCATCAACGTTTTCCAATGTGCATTTTGAGGTATTGAATGTAGATTCGATTAAACTTCCTCCATTTTGCACAAAATTTTACACTCACTCGAGGTGTTTTTTTGGATTTTTCGAAAAAAAAGTTAATGCGCAAAAGTGAAGATGGAAACTAAGTTCTGACATAGCGAACATTTACCTCGATCAGCTGTTCCCGCTGGCTGTCTGGTACCAGTACTGGTACCAGCTGAGGCTGMAGCTGGACCCTCCTCCCACTGTCGGCATCTTCTCAGATATTCCCGTAACGTGAAGAAAACTGCATTTCTTTCTCTATGTCGCCAAAACTAGTTGATATGACAGAATTATTACATCTTTCCCGATTGTAGCAACACGTTCCTGATAACTTTTCTCCACTGTCCTGAGATGTGTATCCCTGAGAGTTTTCCACTTCCACTTCCTGTTTACTACAGCCTTGCGGAACACCAGTGTCTGATGTGATTACTTTGTGTAGCCTGGTTGATTAATTCCAAGCATATCTGAAACACATCTGATTCCTTCTTTTTTCCTTTTTGCGACATTTTAAAAGTTTGCTCAAAATTGGTATCAAAATTAGATGGAAACATTGGCTACTGTCATAAAAAAAAATCACTGAAACTTTTTAAAGAAATTTGGTTAAAACCTACAACTGAGAATCCGTACTTCCCTTTGGGCTGACATTTAAAAATGCTTTTCTCTCTTTTTTTGTTTTTTCTTGCCTTGGTTTTTGCAGTTAGTCATTCGTATGGATATGGTCTGCTTGATGCCAGTGCAATTGCATCGCTGGCAAAGACGTGGAGTTATGTGGGGCCGCAGAGAAAATGTGTGATCTCCATGCTCAGTGAGCCGAGGTTAGTATGCTGCACCTGCACACCCAAAAYGGTGTCAAGAGCTTGTGGTGACATTCACTTCAGCAGCCTGTCTGTTTTTATGTTGATTACTGTATTCCATTTGGATTTGTAGTTCCAGTTAAAAGAGGAATGCAACACACGAGCAAACACTCGAAAAGCTACCTTTTTTTTCTTTCAGTTTGACTTAAGCTTTAACTCCGCCGTTCACACTTTAGTTCATTTTCTGACATTTCCTGCACAAAAAGCTGGTTTGTCTGCATATATTTCATATCACGCTGCCCTTCAGAGAAACCTGTAGAAAAGCTCAGAGGTTATACGGATGTGTGAAAACAGTTAGAACTTTACAGGTGTGCCTTTGAGATGAGACRGGAAAGACGAATTTGAAAAAGAAATTAGCGATTTGACCGATGGACGTGAATGAAAAGTGTGACAGGCCTGAAGGACCGAGGTACTTATTTCACCATCCCCGTCTCACGTTCTCACTGATTTGTAAAATTAGCTCCMCCTTTGAGGCTCCTGTGTATTTTATGTTTCACTCGTGTCTTCATCAGCCTGCAGGTGCCTGTTAAAACGTCTGTCGTCTCACGGCCTTCCCGTACTGAACTGTATCTCCTCATCCATTTTCTTTCTTCTTTTCTTGTCGTCCGTCTAAACTCTGCCTGACATTTCCTCCTCATTATGCGCTCCCTGTCACTTGTCTCTCCGGATTTGAGGTTTGTCTCTTTTACTGCAGCTATGAAACGCTCAGAGCAGATGGTTTGAGCGTCTGGGAGCTGCAGTCGAGGCACGTTACTCAATTTACATTTTTGGATTTTAGCTGACTTACTTATCAGAAAAGACTTAGATTAGAGATCAGAGGTGTTTAGTTGTTTTTTATTATTCTAGTCATTATTTAAAAAAAACATCTTATTGACAAATTATATTGCTTGATCAATGTTATGATTATTTAAAATTACTGTTCTACATCGTACGACTGAGTTTGGCTGATTTATTGTGACTGCAGTCAGTTATTTACTTGTATAGTGATGAAATGAAAATGCTTTGATATTTAATGGCTTGTTTATGAATTTCAGAGAAACGGCACTTTGAAGCTCTGTGTATCTTTGGGACAACTTCTCTGCTCACATTTGGAAAACTGATTTTGTCAAAGCGGGGCGCGTTAGCAGAAGATCTCCTGTGACCACTTATCTAACGGAATAAGGCAGCGTACAGACTTTATGTAATTATCAGATAGATTTCTCTTTATGAATAAGAGGCATTTAGACACGTCTACACACTTTGTTGTACTGAGGAATAAACAAACCATGCAAATTAACATTACTGACAACAAATGTATATGTATAGATATATTGTACCTCTTTAAAGGTACTCGATGTAAACTAAAAAAAACTGAAGTATCACGTTTTCAGCAACAAAGTATTTTTTTATTACGTATTTTGTAAATTTATGCTACTAATATTTGATAATTGCATTTATTTTCATAAGATTTCTTTCATAACAAATATTTTTCTTTTGAAAAGGACACAGAACTATGAACAGTTTGTCAATTAAATGATGTTAATTATCTTGCAAACAGACCAATATTTATTACATTGAAGCTCATCTCAAAATAAGTTCACACAGAGCTCACACAGATCATCATCATCATGTTTTTATCAACCAGCAGACAGATGTTGAACAAATAAAAGCCCACTAAGTTACCTGAGCTAAAGAAGAMAAACTTAGTTTTTCATTATTTGATGAGAGAAAAACTCGGCCTGTGACACTAATATTAATCAAATACAGAAGGTTTTGAGTTAACTAATAAACTGTTGAACAATCCTGTTCAAAAAAAAGTTTACAACCAGCATTTCCTTTATTATTCATCGGCTTTAACCTTCCAATGACCGCGTGCCATCAAACCATACAGCTCTGCAGCAGAGAACAAGGTTTTTTTTTTTCTTCTTCCAGCTTGATCCAAGTCACATGCTCCACTTTGATAAATTGGCTGTGACATTTTAATTTGAGCAGTGGTTTGTATAAACGTACTTTTCCCTCTCAAATTTAACAGTTGGCATAAAAATATACATATTGCAAACATGCATTTTAGTGTCACTTTGGATTTTTCTGATCAGTTGGGTAATTAGTTTTAAGTTAACTTTGTGATTAACTAAGTGAGGCTGCTTGGTGGTTTAAATGTGTTTAGTTATTCCTGTGATGTAGATAAGAAAATGTGCATCAGTTCGCACTGAAACTGAAGGGACTGTCTCTGAAACTGCCTGCTTCTGTATTTTAATCACATCTGTGTAACGAAAACTGCCCGCCGCGCTCCTTCTTAGAAATGTTATGGATGTGTGTAATCTCCTAAGAGGATTTGAGGTGAAGTAAAGAAAGACCGGGTGATTTACTCGTCCGACATCAGTGAGGCTACAGGTTGGGAGGCACTAATCCTTTTCAAGACTACAAACTCTTCATCCTTAGATGCTCCTACAGTGACCAGGAGCAAAATGCACGCAGATTTCTGAAGCGTTGTTTATCCACCAGCTCTGTACATAATATAAGCTCATAATAAGTTATTTATAATAAGACTCCTTCRCTGCTCTGTTTGTTTCTCATGTTTTACAGGAACATTGGCAGCAATTTATCTATTAACAAAACCGTGGATTCCTGCTACGGCTCAGACAGTTACGTGACATCATTAGAGCACGTCCAGGCCCGGCTCACCTTGTCCTACAACCGGAGAGGAAACCTGGCCATCCACCTCATAAGTCCTGCCGGCACCCGCTCCACCCTGCTCCACCCCAGGTACAGACTCTTCACAAACACAAGCATGCACTTTAATTTAAAGGGAAACCCGACTAGTTGCAACTTTAGACATTATTTTATAAACATTTACTTAACTGTAAAACAAACACTGTAGTTCCAGTGTTTGTTTTTTATAAATTAAAAAAGTATATATTATCACGCGGACGGTGACATGTTATTAACACGTTTAGCCTGTTGAGGTTCGTGTGAGCACCCRAGGCATAATAAAAAATATGTATATATAATTTTCATTTATATGGTGTTTGCTAATAAAGCTAATAATGTTAGCTCAGGAACTATAGTGTGTATTTGTATTATCTATATATGCGTATGTATGTATGTATATATATTTATATATTAGTTTGGATGCTAACACGAAAGCTAACAGGCGAAGCTGAGGTTCTTCTTCCATGAAGCAGCTCTGTTGTCCTTCATCCACACTTCCAGTTTCAGGCYGAGTCATTTCTACATGCTTCAGTCAACTCGCTCTGGTTTCATTGAAAAGGTTTGATCGTCACATATTGTCCAAGATTAACCTTCAGGGTAGATTAGAGCTCGCAGCCTTGCACCAGAGCACCTAGTGAGTGTCATCGTTTACCCAGTATGCTTTGCGGCGTTAATAATATGTGACAATGTGTTTTTTTGCCTACAGTATTTTTTATAGTCTTTGTTTTACAGTTGAATAAGTGTTTATCAAATAATATTTAATGTTACAACTAGTCACGGTTCCCTTTAATAAACAAATGATTCCTGTTTGCTCCACTTCCTGCAGGCCTCATGACTACTCATCAGAGGGCTTCAACGACTGGGCTTTCATGACCACACACTCCTGGGACGAGAACCCCAACGGGGTGTGGACATTGGAGATTGAGAACGTGGCCGGTGCCAGCGATTACGGTAAAGCAGCTGTTTTACTGTTAGTTTATTCAGAAGTGTGTTCTGCAGTATTAAGTTATGTTTGTCCAGAATGCTGTTAATCGTGAGTCTAAGGAGAAATGAGTTCACTTTTCCCTGACTAAAAGTCATATAAAAAACCCTTTTCATTATTCAACACTTTTTGATCTGTTGGGTCTGCTGCTGAGCTCAAAGGTTCAGGATTCAGATCATGAGATTAGAGATCAAGCTTCTCCTGAAGCCAAGGTGTCTTTGCTCTTTTTAACGCCCTGCAGCAGGTTCTCCTGTTTATTCTGCCTCTCACTCCTGAGAAACCAGTGAAGTAAATACTCTTTGTGCATTTTTCATTAAGTTAATGCATCTCCTTGCTTCCTCTAAGCAAGGTTGTTACGAAGAAATAGCATTAAAAAAACTACCTATTTATTTATTTATTTATTTATTTATTTATTTATTTATTTATTTATTTATTTATTTATGGCTCTAAGCTCCTCCTGAAGCCTCCTTTGTCCTCGCCTCCACAAGGTGCATTTTAAGGAATTGAAACGGCTCAGGATTGTGGAAAAGGAACAATTTCTGGGTCACGAGCAGAAAGAGGACACTGTGCAGGATGAAACATTATAAAAAGCTTTCTTTTAAATTTGCCCTTGGGTCTTCCAGCAACAAATGTTTTCAGCTCCTCCCTCAACGTAAGACTTCAGCTGAGAAACAGTTTCACGCTTTCGTTCTCCGAGAGGTTTTAGTGAAACCTCTAAGCTCCGACGCTCGAACGAGTCGTGAAAAGATGTGCACTTTAATAAGTCAACTTGGGCACAGGATGGACTCTCTGCATCTTAAATGTGCACCCTGTATCTCCGAGATATTTTCTATCAGAAGAATCACAGAGTGTAAAGCAAGAGAATGAATTTGCAGAATCTTTAGGGAGTGCTGGAGCGTTACTGTTTTTGACAGGCCTACTTCTAATTTCTGCTTTTATTCCCATCTCTCCTCCCAGGCACCCTGACCCAGTTCACCCTGGTTCTGTACGGCACCAGCTCACCATCTTCCAGCTTTTCTGAAGTCTCTCAGTCCAGCGATGACAGCTGCAAGACTCTGGACCTGAAAATGAAATGCATCGGTAAGACTGGAATCTCTCGTCCTTYGCTTCGTTTCGTTTAGGAAGCGGTAGCAGTCAGAGGGTGGATAAATACCAACAACGTTGGCTGATTGATGTAGGGCTGCACCAACGAATTGATAAAATCGATAAAAATCGATTATTAAAAGCGTTGGCAACAAATTTCATTATCGATTCGTTGTGTTGCGTGATTTATGCGTCCCTCGCTGTGTCGCAGAGCCGTTTACTTCACCCGCAAATTGTTGTCAGTGCTGGCTGACCTAAATAAAGGTTGGGAAGAAAAAAAAAACTCTACCTGTAAAGATTCACCCTCTCTGGACTCTCAATGAAAAGTAGAGACTTCGAACTTTAAAYCACTTTTTAAATTGTGTTGTTTGGCCAAGAAGATCCAAAGATATGCTAAAAAGTATATACAACATTTAATTATTTTAAAAGACAGTCTGATTTGATGATTTCAGAACTGTTTACTGGGTCGAACAATGTTTTAATCACAGGACCAACAACAAGGAAGCAAACTGTAAAGAATTAAAGAAAAAATATAAATGTTAAATGTAAATAAATTCTAATTATAATAAATTAATAATAGTTTTACATCTAAAAATCATTTTATTATTTTAATCTATTTTCCTCATTCAGCAACCTATTAAATTTCAGTTATGTAAAACATTTTTTTCAGTCAGTATT